TGCGGAACGCCTCAGCTTATGGGACGCCAAGACCTCCCGTCATCCGTACTTGGATCTTGATTCTCAGTCAAGCATTAGGTTTCCAATGAGAGTGAGGCATATGCTGGTCAGCCAATGATCATTTACTAGCGAAATGAAGACGAGTCATTCACCTACGAACATGCTACGTCTCCAAGCACGCAACAATGATATGCGGCCAGCTAACCTAAAATGCCGGCTCATTATGCTTGTGGTTCACTTTGGTGAGGCACCTTACCACTCGAATTACGTGCCGGAGACAGCTGATATGTTGCCGGAGGAGAAGTCCGTGAGATCGGAGACCAATGTTTGTCCTGCTATGAATCAGAAATGCCTCTCTACCGTACCCTATCAGATCTCAGCCTATAGTTTCTGAGACAAGCCGTGGGCAGGTCATACCTAGACTCTCATCATTCGGTTTCTGTTCGTCCTTAACCCTTGGCCACCAAGTTACGGTGCACCGACATCTTGGTTTAACATGCCGGTTGAGTTGGCTGGAAAGACGCCGGAGTCGATCGACACAACATTTTGGAGACGCGGTGCCAAGTTTCAGATCCGAAAAGCTCTCCCGCATGGTGTGCGGATTCAGTTGCTGATACGGTACCAGAGCGATTGAAGATGAGAACGCGTGGCAAGAGAGCGAAAGCCTCCGTCAAGCATGAAGGACAGCGAATTTAGCCAGTTCAAACATATCCAACGTGTCCAAATGCAGCTTGATGTTATCTTGCGAAAGGGTCCTGTGCCATTTGTTCGTTTTGTTCGTGCTCACCTACCTCACCTCAACTGAATAAAATTGGCAATCCGCGGTTATCATCTTCAATCAATAAGTTCTACAGGGGCAAAGAACTTGCGACGTGTTGCATGCACGACCTTTTGTCTCTTGATCCTTATTCACGATGTCTTTCTTCTCATGCATTGCTGAACTTGAAGGGGTCAGCCGCTGGGCGGTCTTGATATCCGGCCTGGTGAGATACCGCAAGCACTCCAGGTCTATACTTGGCTGACAGAATTAGTTTGCGGCGTACTTGTCCTGTTTAGCGGTCTACAGGGCTTTCTTTCATCCGCTCAATAAATATCCAGGTCCAATTCTGAACCGCTTGACAAACCTTCCGTTTGTGATTGCAGGAGTGAAAGGGCAGCTGCCATTCTATGCAGAATCCTTGTTCAAGAAGTACGGCCCAGTCGTCAGAATGGGGCCCAATAACCTGGGCTTCATCGAAGAAAACGCCTGGAAGGACATCTACGGCATGCGTCGTCGCGGCCAATTTGAGAAAGCATACGAGTACTACCGTGAAGGACCGGAAGGACCCATTAGCTTGCTCAACGCTGGGCCCGATGAACATGCGAGACTACGCAAGTGGGTTTCACCGTATTTTTCGGATCGTGGCATGAAGGAGCAAGAACCGATGATCGGCGGTTACGTTGACTTGCTTCTCAAGCGACTTCATGAGAACTGCGATGATGGTACCCGCGCGCTTGATCTCCGTGACTGGTGTGAGTGCTGGGATTACATCTGCCGAAGTTCCGTCTGATGCTAACATTAGGCTGTCAGTTAACTTCTGCACCTTCGACATCCTTGGCGAACTTGCTTTCTCCAGCTCTTTTGGATGCCTCGAGTCAGCAGAATATCATCCCTGGGTAAAGATCATTGCATTTCAGCAGAAAGAGATTGAGTGGATCGGTGAGCTGAACCGGCAGGGATTGAGGTTTATCACAGCTATCATCATGAAGGTACTCGCCAAGAACAAGTTGGAATTTATGGGTTACACGATTCAGAAGTTACAAAGTCGCATTCAGTCGGGTAAACAAGCAGATATCATTGAGTCCCTGCTCAATAACAAAGAAGGAATGGTACGTTCTATTCTTTTCTCGCCCCTGATTTTGCTCAGTGTTGGACGTGCAATCATATTGTCTCAGATACCAGAGCAGAGCGAGACTAATCAGAGAGAGCAGAAGCTTGACATGGATCGCCTTGTCCAGAATTCGACGCTTCTCATCGCGGCTGGGTCAGAGACCACAGCGACGCTGCTCACGGCAACTTCGTTCCTTCTGCTATCGAATCCTGAAGCATATCAGAAAGTTGTAGAAGAGGTCAGATCTTCATTTTCTGATCCGTCAGACATTACTCTTCTATCCGTCAACAAACTCCCTTACATGTTGGCCTGCCTGGACGAGGCGCTGCGCGTGTTCCCGGTAGTTCCTTCTTGGTTGCCCCGACGAGTCACGCATGGTACCGCTATCATTGATGGCAATATCGTACCCGAAGGTGTAAGTGACCTCTCTACTGAGTAATGCCCTGCTTCATTCCCAGCAAAGCTCTGACTCTCTTCATTCTAACACAGTGTCTTGTCGCTACTTGGCAGTGGGCGATGTATCATAACGAACTGAACTTTACTAAACCCTTAGAATATCATCCCGAGCGTTTCCTCGGAGATCCGAGCTTCTCGAAGGATAGGCTGGACGCATTCCAACCATTCAGCATGGGCCACGCAGACTGTGTCGGTCGCAACCTCGCATACTCTGAGATGCGTCTTATCCTAGCAAGGATTTTGTTCAGCTTCGATCTGAAGCTAGCGGACGAGGGCAGTGACTGGATAAAGGGTCAAAAAGTTTATATCGTATGGCAAAAGCCGTCTTTAAATGTGTATCTCAAGCCAGTCAAGCGATGAGGCAAACCTTCATCCAGCCTCGAAGCTTGTGGCAAAACAAAGCCGTGCACGTAGTGGAGGCTTTCCACACATTATGTATGTACTTCGTAGGCATATTGCAACCAAACACGGAAGGTGGGCAGCATGCACATAAGCCTGGCGGAACCATGAATACCCATCAGAGCATCTTATCTCCTCATAATTTGTGCAAATACAATGCATCAGTCCGAGGTCCTAGGCTTGAAACGACCCTTCGTATAACTTTGACTGCGGGGAAGACCCTGACATTGTTGGAGTACCTTCCACTGAGACTTGTCCTAAGGCTGAAGCAGGCCTTGTTCTGGCTATTGCTCAATGCTGTCGGTGGCAGACATTCTGCCAAGAAACTTTTGACCGTAGGAGACTTTATTTCTGCGACGCGGCTGGTGCATTATGTGAACTGCGTTGAGGCGAAGCGCGGAAGAGGGCCCTGCAGTGGGATGCCGCTGAAGGCTTGTGTTTGTCGAATATTATCCGCCGTCTTGTTTGTTCGCAAGAGCCCTCTATCCGAAGTTGATACTTTGCTAGATCATGTTAATTAGGTTCTAATACCTCGCAACTGTATTCGGGTTTGCTTTTTAGCCGCCTAACCTGTAAGGTATGCGATCAACCATCAAATTTCTACATTGCCCAAGATCACGTTGTCCTCACTATTCGCACCATGAAATGATATTCGTTGCTCTGAGATATGTTATAGAGACCAGGTCTAGCTACATCGCTTAATCCTGTCGCGTAGCAGCTTCTACGCGTCTATAACTCTGACTCGTCTCAAATTTTGTCATGTCAACTGAAAGTGGCCGGGCCAGAAACAATGACAGGCCCTGCCGTCAAAACTCCCCGGGATGCCAAGATTAAATCTCCGCATGTTCTAACTGCCCTATCGGCCAGTGGGGCATTCACGCGCCGCTCATGCTTTATTGGGCCATGCCAACAGACTTCAGAGGTTGAAACTATATTGACACACTACTAAGATGCCATTTTACCGACGAGACAGGTTCACGCTAATTTTCTGCCGTTTCTAGAATATTGCCGGCCCTCCATCCCTGACCGGTAGCCAGTCGTCGGTTCATCGGCGGATTGGCTTTGTCTAAAGCGATGTCTTGTTACCCAAAAAGACTAACACAAGCCGTCGCAATCTCGATTCGAATTCCATCGATCTTAGCCGCACTCTCAACTTCGACTCATTGAACAATGGCAACCGCAACTCAGTCTCTGCCTATTGAAGACTTTCAGTTTGACTTTGATATGCCTCGGACGACTTGTCATGAAGGCGACTCTAGGGAAGTGAAGAACTCAACAACCTCAACTAAACGGCGCCGCGGCCCGCTTACCCGCAACGCCTGCAAACACTGTCGGATTAAAAAGGTGCGCGGAGTTCGGCCTTTCTTTCTGAATATATTGATCACAAAAAGTATGACAGATAACTAACGTTGCTTGTAAACTTGTAGCTGAAATGCAGCGGCGAGAAACAAGGATGCGGTCGGTGCAGAGCCAACGGCTTCGACTGCCATTATGAAACCTCGAATCCCAATTCAAAGAGGCGCTTGACGATTGCCGATTTTACACCTTCTATGTCCCCTTGGGAAAGGGAAGATAACTCGACCGCCGACAATGCCATAATCACGGAGGAAGACCAAGATCCAAATGAACCGGAAAACATTGATCACTTGGTCTTCCAGCCGAGATCCTTCTCTCCCTTTCAAGCCGAGACATTAGATGGCATGCTATCAACGAATGCCCTTGATAGCTTTATGAAAGCTAGTGGTGAGCTCATTTTCTATTTCGCTTGCCGTCAGTCGGCCAGTATTGGAACCGTTCGAACATTAACGTTGTTGTCGTACAGGGGATCAGCCCTTCATGAAGGCAACACTTAACAGCCCATCGACCTCACCTCGACTAGACCCGCTACTTTCCTGTCTCAATGCCTCAGACTGGCCAAGAGTGATTTCTTTAGGCTCAGATACAGAGAGGTCTATAGCCCATGTCGAAAGGCGGAGGAAGCACATACGGGAGTCATCAAGTCATAATCAGGAGTGGCCTCGAAATAGCCAGCGTTCTCGACACAATCCATCGAAGCAACACCCGGAACAAGATAGTCTCTCATGTTCATGCTATGCGCGAGTCTTTCTGCAGCATGAGGACGTTAGTTCTAACCTTCTCTGGAGTATACGAAGCAAAGCCCCTGCGCCACCCGCAGAAATGCTGCGGTCCTTGAAGCGAACTATGGAGGGCCTCGACTCCTTCTTCGACTGCCACACACATTCCACACGCCCGGAGTTTGTCGCCTTGCTCGTATCAATGTGCGATATGATGCTTGGTGGTGTCGAGTATTTGGTGCCTAAGCTTTGCGTAGACGATGACATCATTTCTGCAGATGATGATTCGGATACATCCAGTTCCCATGGTGACTCGGGGAGACGCTCTAGCAGCAGGAGCGGCAGCGTCAATTTTACGTCGCAGCCAGCCTTCAGGTTGAGCCAAGGGACATTGGACAAAGAGGATGAGCTTCATGTGCTTCATAGTTTAGTACGAGTTCGGACTAAACGACTAGGCCTCCTGATTGACAGACTGTATCATGCGGTGGATGATAACGGAAGACCTATACATAGACATACTGTCTGCAGTTTGCAGGACCGACTTAGATTTGTGTCATCAACATTGAAGAGAAGCCAGATATAGATAGCTGGGTACCGGCGGATCAAATGGATGGGAATTCAGACTCAGATAGTCAAAATTCTGACCCACCAAACGCATTCTAAGCACATTTGTATTTGTGATCAACGCTTCTTGGTTTGAAATGTCACAAAATCATGACTCGGGTCATGCAGAATTCTATTATGTCGAAGTCTCCTTGTGCTCGCAAGCGTGTCAAAGGTGAGGAATCATCTGGATCCAAGACGGCATCGAGTAGACACCGATAGGGACCTGCCTAAGACTGATGAAAGCCTCAACAACGATGAAAACTCGGGCAACAAAGTGAACTCCAGCAAAAAACGAAACTGTAAACCCCAGAATGCATATCCCCGCCATGCAAGAGCCTACTGACAAGGGTGATTTCTGAACTTCTTCCGTAAGTAAGTCATGGTCGATATAAACCCGCAATGGTCTTCCGACATATGCAAAGAACAAGAAATAAAGCCCGATCCAAGGTATAAACCCGATGATGATGAGACAAGATACCTTCCACATAATCCCTTCCTGTCGCGAGGCAAAGTCATAGTTCCATGCCGAAAGATGGATACCTCCGTAGATTATAGGGAAAGCACCGGTTCTTAGCAAATTGTACCAAGTGATCTCCTCGCCGATAGCGGAGAGAAGGAAGCGAAAAACCTCTGTGGTTGACACCAGTCCTTCATCGGGGTCACCCTCTGCGGGATGGCTGAAACTATCTTGGAATGTCGAAAGAGTCTCGCGCATGTTGCCCCTTAACACAAAACATTGACTGTAAGTCTTGTCCCAGAATGGGTCAACGTCAGGAGCTGCCAAGGAATTCTGTCGTGTCGATTCCAGGTGCAAGGGGCTCTTTTAGTCCTCGTTATGTCTGAAGCATTGAGAAGAATGCTTCTCTCCTCTGCGAGTCGACTCTTTTCACGCCCGAAGACAAGACCTGCATGGAGGTAGCCTACTCCACAGGGCAGAGCCTGGCCTTCACTAACGCGAACGCCATCCATTGTCGGAGTGATCCATTGAACAGGTAGCTGTTCATCCTGGTGGTTGGTGGCGACGTTACATCGACTACTTCAAGGGTCTTGTTTCCCAAAGCTCCTCTTAGCCACTGTGCTCGGAACTATGGCCCGGTCATCTCGTCGGTCAGGATACAAATTGCAGTCTCGTTTTGCAAGTGGCAGAACTGGCACTGAATCATGAAAGAAAGGGCATTCTTGACCTTCTCGCTTTCCACTGTGATAGATTGCGTCCACTCGATACCTAAGGGCTTCTATTAGCTCCAGATTAGTAATCTACATGGCATTGTAAATCTCTTTGAGATCCGAAAGCAAGGCGGCAATAAGCACTTACGTAAAACCAGAATCCATAGAGTAACAGAGCGAAAATCACGTGTACCATAACATGAATTCCGAGCAACGCTATCGGCAACCTAAGTCTCTTCTTTACAATGCACTGTATCGCCATCCATATTACTTGGGTTGACACTAGGAACTTCTGTAACAGGGTGGCTTTACTTCGATCTTCCAGACTAGCTATATCAACTTCGATGAAGTAACCAAGTTTTGCCAGTTCAAGGATGCCTCTTGCTGATAGCGTCAAATTCTGTGGCCAATCATAATCATTGTCTCGTACAACTCCAGTTCCTGGCTCTATATCGGCAATTGGAGCTTCGAAGCCTCCCATTACCGCGAAGAAGCAGGCCTTCAGGTCGTATGGCTTCTGAAAACAGGCGCCAAACTATTTATTAGCTTGAATCTTTTATCTTCTTCCGGGTTCGGTTGAGGATTGCGGTGCTCACTTTGGGAGTGCTGCTGTTGTTACGGACATTCTCTGACAGCAAGAGGTTGAGTTTCCGTTTAAGCAAGAATGCTTCGATGAATTGCCTGGAGGCAAGCAAGAGGATGAATTCTGGTGCGAATAAGGTTATAGCAACCCATTGCAGTTTGTTCCATGTCGAAGAGTGCTTGATATTCAAATGAAGCACCGTAAGAACGCAAATGGTCAGGGTGATAAAACAACCCCACAGAATGTCGGTGGTCCCTCGAACAGATGAGCCAGGCACGAGCGTGTATGGTGTTCAACGCTTTTTGGTCATTCTCATTCGCCTCGATTTGGCTCTGGATTTCGGCACTGGTCTGCGTCTGTAAGCACCGCGCGAAGCCAATAACGACCAGAAGTACAACCAAGTGAGACCTCAAAGCAGCCATGGCAAGAGGAAAAGTGGAGAATCAATGATGCCCGGAAATTCGTTGATGCTCGCTTTTCGACTGGGTTGCAGCCTTTTTAAAACCATTCTCGTCTTCCTGTCGCAGCCTGATCACCCTGGCTAAGTTGCAAGCGTGAGCGGATGGTGCATGCTGCGGCATGTCTCCTTCACTGCAAGGCTCTGAGTGGAGGTTTCTTTTCATATCCGTACAGCCAATCTAATTGCTTATCTTACCGAGCTGCCTTTCATGTTGATCGAAATTGAGTCGGCGGCTGATCACTCCTGACAACTTGCAGGAGCCAGGAATCCAATCGGCCAGTTGTTGTTTCCGAATCAAGCCACCGTGCTCGGGGAGGTGGGGGCCCGAACCTCGAGTTGTCATTGGCGCGTCTTGGATGCGTTGTTATAACTGCCATAAATATACATAATTGTCGTTTGTGCATTCGAAAACCTTTGAACAATTGCTGTGCCTATAATATTACCTTCTGTGCAAGAGAAACGAAAGTCGACTTACATGAAAATATTCGCCGGGTCATGTTGCGATATTAAGCAGATAATGCGACGATAGGATGGCCGTCTTCGAACGAGATCAACTTGAAGATTGAACTAGTGAAAATATATTACAGATGTTTGAAAAAGCCAACTTCAAAAAACCGTGTGTACATGCTTCTACGTAGAATGCCCATGTAATAGACTTGGCACTGGCCTCAACTTGGTTGTCTCGTTCACTCTTTGAAGCTGGCGTCTAGGGATTTTCTCGGTGGCAGGGACATTGCGCATGGTTGCTCCACATTCGTCTTCAAGACGTTGAGCGTCAGTCGATTAGAATTCGTCTCCCACTGGCGGTACGTCTTTAAGCTTGCGTGTACAGAGCAAAGCAGAGACCGGGGAAACCTGCCCATAATTGACCACCAGGCGAGGTCGTCTCTAAGCTCTACATCATTCAATCAAGAATACCTCACAAGCTGTTGCATGCATTTCGAGCTGAGTGGACGGAAAGCTTCCGGTTCAGCCTTGGGTGAAGGAAGGATTTTCTTGTTTCCCCCCATGGATCCTTGGCGAACTTACCCCTCTGTGCTCACTGCTCAATCCATGTCGGGAAATCTTTCGCGGCCAAAATTGTGGCCCCGGCCGTTGAAACTTTACTGCCCAGCACAGAGATGGATCCTTCGAACTCGATTTGCTGAGTACTGTAGTGAGACCACCAACTTTTGCTATTTGATCTTACTCCAACATCGCTCAGCCGTTCTGAATTGACCAAGATGCGAATGTAGGAACATAGGACATGTAGCATCTTAACCAATCAAGACTCTTTTGCGGTTCCCTGCAGCCTCCGTAACAAAGTTTTGGTACGCGAAGTCATCAGCTATCAAATCTTCATGGTCAATGCACTATGGGTCCAGAAGTTCCCCGCGGAAGTACCGGCAGGCATGGGGGAAACATTCAATAGGGGAATGATTGACGCATTGGCGAAAGGCCCAATGACGAGCCGGGTAAACAAATATGCTTCGGCAATAATTAGCAGTGCAATTAGCTTGACTCATACGAAAAGCAACACCATATAAAGCGTCAGCGACGCCGGTAGCGGGGTTGAAGGGGAAAATAGGGCTCGGTGCGTCTACCAGATCCCGAACTGTTCCCATTCGTGATCTATCGTACTCCTCAAGATGCATCGTCACCTTACGATCTGGCTATTGGCCCTTTGCGGCTTGGCGACTGTCGCAACTTGCGAAGACCGACGATACTCGACCTGGATGCTGGACAGCATCAAGGCGCGCAAGCAGGGCATCATCTCGTCTGGTGAATCAAGCAGTTTCCTGGAAACAGGCATTCTATCCATCGCCATGGAGGCTGCACTGAAGCAATACCCGGAGCTTAAGGACCAATATGTCCCTTACTTGGAGGAAGTTCTAAACGAGGGCACTCCCAATTTGGTCAACGCAACTTACGTCGCAACCCGACCTCTGGACCGCTTCTCGGTTGCAAACGCCATCAACGCTATTTCCAAGTCGGGAATCGCGACGATTTCGGACACGGCATCAGCAGCATCGAAAGCCATCAACGAATCTCTGTCACTTCAAATCCGCAATCCTGTTGGAGGCTTCTGGTACTACGTCTACCCTCAATGGAGTTACCTGGATGGCATGTTCTCTGTACTCCCATTCATGGCTGCGCAACCCCAGCCTAACTACACCGACATCAGCTTGCAGGTTTCGCTGCTCTACGAGCACTGCTTCCAGAAGAACACCTCCTTGGTCGCCCACGGGTACGATTACTCAAAGACTTCCGTCTGGGCAAACAAAGAGACGGGCGCGAGCCCGTATGTATGGGGCCGCGCCGTAGGCTGGTTCGTAGCAGGTTTGGTTCAGACGTGGGAAGCTCTCGATTGTCCCGCTGGCAAGCACGAGGCCAAGGCTGTGTGCAAGCAACTGCAACACATGACGACGCAATTGGCTACGTCTCTCATCCGCTACGCCGACCCCGAGACCGGCGTCTGGTGGCAATTAACAACGTTTCCGGGACGCAGCGGCAACTATCTGGAGAGCTCTAGCACGGCCTTATTTATGTTCTCTATGCTCAAGGGCGAGAGGCTTGGACTTCTGTCGAACTCGAAGGTAGACTTCAAGAAGGCAGCTTTGAAAGCTTACGACTATACCACCCGAAACTTTGTTGTCGATACTGGTAACGGTACGATCGGGTACAACAAGACAGTCGCTGTGTGCAGTCTCAACTCTACGGCGTCATACGAATACTATACTCACCAACCGCTTTTGCCGAACAGTCTTCTCGGAGAGTCAGCTTTTATCATGGCCTCTCTTGAGGTAGAAAGGAAGTAGTGAATGAAGGCCCTAGTTATTGCAGCACTGCTAGATAATATGATCATTTTCTGCACCTTTTAATCTCTTAAGGAAGTCATTCTGCAGGATCATCGAGCATGCGTGATTTCCAATCTCTTTAGACTAGATTCGAGTTTTTTCGGAGCCTCCTCGTTGGTTTCACGACAGATTAGCCGATATGTTCACGTTGTAACCAGATCCCTAGACATGTAGAATTCCGGCGACCTGCAGATTAAGACATGGGATAACAATTCATCTGCTTGGCTTACGGAGACCGTTTTGAGGATAGTGCTTAGCGTACATGCAAGTATCGACTCAAGCTATCCCACGTCAGCATGGGCAAACACACTCTGATTGATAGTAGTGTAGCCTGCTAGTCAGAATTCAACAGCGGTACGCGAAAAGTCAAGTACATGTAGCTACAAAGCTCCTGCAATCGTCTTGCCCACGCTGCAACGCTCATGTACCTATATGTCCGAAATCCGATATGCCTCGTCGAGTCGCTGGTGAGACTGATGACTTGGACCGACGAGGTTGTCTCCAGCCACTTGTATTCTCGAGAGTATGGCAACCTCCGCACCTAACTCTCGGTAGTCGTAGGAAGGGAATCAAATTCAACACGCCTGACTCCGACGTGTTCAGCAAAAGCTCATGGCTCTTATCTTCAATACTACATTTTCCACGTTGATCTCTTTCATTGCTGGCACCAAGAAGTACAGGCCCCGCGCATAAGTTGCGCAAATTAAGCGATCACACTAAGGTAAGATCGAGATACTTGGTAGGATTCCCGAACCCCCGGGTTTCGGCTCATCCATTGTACCTGCCCTGTACAGATGGATTGAAGTTCATCCGCATCTATGGGAATCAGACGCATACAAATAGTCCAGCCACCTTTCTCGATAATCACATTTCTGAAGGCCTCATCAAGCCATTACTGCTACCTTCTGCCAATTAATTTTGCACTTTAAAAGCCTCTCAATGACAATTTCCAGGATAGCCTGCCTATGGCTTCTCGCGGTCGTTCTAGTCTATGTGAACGCCCTGCGAGTGGAAAAGAGTCAAGAGTTTCCGCTGGGATCTGAGATCGAAAACCTCGCCGTCAGGCCGTCGGGTTCCATTCTGGCAGTCGTTTACACATTCCCACGCGTCTACGAAGTGGCTCCTGTCGCGAATGCCGAGCCAAAGCTTGTGCACACTTTCGAGAATACCAATGGCGTTTCCAGTATTGCCAAATCACCAAACTCGGATGAATACTTCCTCATTACCGGCAACTTCTCTTTCCAGACTTTGAGTCCAACCCCTGGCTCGTACGCGATCCACAAATTGTCATTTGACAAGTGCGACAAGTCGGTCGTCAAGCAACTGGCATCGCTGGATGCTATTTCTCAGCCCAATGGGATGATTGCGGTTCCTGGAACGCCCTACGTTCTGATCGCAGATACGCGCAAGGGATTCATCTACCGTTTCGACACCCAAACCTTTCAATTGGGCGTCTACTACGATGATCCCTTACTAAAGCCTGGTACTACAAGCGGCGTGGTATTCGGCGTCAACGGCATCAAGCTCTCAAGAGGATACCTCTATTTCAGCAACACCAACCAACAGTTGGTCGCCCGTGTGAAAGCTTCAGGGAACGAAGATGTCCTCCATGGAACCCCGGAAATCGTGGCAACCCAGACTCCAATTGACGATTTGATTGTCAATAAATACAATGGCGACATTTATCTCGCCGAACTTAGCGGAAACACTCTTGGCTTTGTGCCACGTGGGGCAAACACCACCGTCCCGGAGACTCTTCTCGGCGGCATTAACAGCACAGCTATTTTGGCGCCTACATCAGTCGTTTGGGCAAAGGGTGCGGAAGGCCGAACGCTCATCGTCTCGGAGACTGGCGGTTTTGAGCAATTTGTGACACACAATTACACAGGTGGTGGCAGGATCAACATAATTCACTTGGAGTAATACCCTCAAGTGCCGTAGCTCAAGATGATTTGAGGAAATCGCAACCTCTTTAAGACTATGATTTGCGAATTGTTGCAAGGACCTGGACAGTCTGGGATTCTTAATGCTTTGGGTTCATGCGGCGTGTGCGTCAATACTAATTTCTTTACTTTCTCCAAGTTTCCACAAGTAGCATCCTACTAGTATGATGAATTTGATCAATACGCAATATGTTTGTTCGCACTCATAATCATGAATACTAAAGTTATCGATTGTGGGGGCCCCGCGATTTCTCATAGATTGGTGCCAAGCATCGAGTTGTGCCCTTCTCATTGACCATCCTCGCCTGCATCCCTCGAATGCCGGTGGGAGAGTTCAGGGAGAACACAGAAAACTGTAGATGATGCTGCCAAGAAACATGTGATGCTTATTCTGCTGGTCCGAGGCAGCCATACGAATAGACGACATTGCCAACTTTTTTCTGGCTCATTTTCCTGTGAGGCACCATACCACTTACTTTCCACGCAACTGTTTTGGCAACTGACTTAAGATACAGCAACCCCATTCACCATCGCAAGTGATGCGGCCCACATCATTGACAGTTTCCGTGTACGACTCCAAAGTGTGCGACGGACTCTCGGACGTTGAAACGTCGTCCACAGAGTGTTTGAAGACTGGTGATACTCAGTCGCAAAGATGAATCTTTCAGAAAACTTACAGTTCAGCCCATACCAATTGACCGACTTCTTGGCAATCCTATTGAAGATGAGTGTTGATTTATATCCAAGAGTAAGAAAGTGGCTGTTCAAGAAGCGCCGGTGGGATGAAGCCTTGGTGCAGCATCCGGCTGTTGTATCATTGGTGTGCATCAGTCAAAGCTTCAGTTCGTCTCTTGTTCCCCCTTGAGATCGAAAGTGCCAAGAGCATCCTTTCTCAAACCTTATCCGCAACCCCTGCCAAGAATTCAATCTACTCGCCGGCAAACGGCTTATTCCAACTCTACACGTGGGCTAGCGCGAATTTCCTTTTCCAAGGTAAAATCGATTTAACCACCAGCCATTTAGATTAATAGGTGGAATTTGCGCAGCACATTCAGGGATATCCCAACCCCGCACGGAAAACGATGCGGTACCCAGCTCGGTGATGTACAAGGGTTGCATTTCCGACCATGGCTTCGGAGGAGCTTTTAAAGACACTGAATCGCCGGCGGTATGGTAGTTGCTAGCATCGGTCTGTATCGATCTTTATCGCTAACTGACTTATCCGCAATGCTGGGGTTCGATAAGTTCTCTGCCGCCTGGCTCATGGCCATTATGTCCGTCAAGCCAGTGACATCGACCCTCCTATACGCCGCTTCGCACGCCGGAACCGTCACCACTCTCGATCTTCAGACTTCGGAATCCGGAACGACTTTGAAGGCCATTGCCACGAACACTGATTGCGCGGCGAACCCCTCTTGGCTCACTCTCGATCAGTCAAAGTCCCTGCTCTACTGCGCCGATCGAGGACTTACAAACCCCAACGGCACGCTCGTCTCTTTCCAAAAGTCTGAGAATGGGACACTCGAGTTGCTTGGAAAGCTCCCTACTATCAAGGGGGCTGTGAGCTCCGTCGTCTATGGCAAGAATGGTGGAGGCATTGCCTTGGCTTCTTAGTAAGTCCCACTCACTGGCCCCGGACAGATTTCCACTTTCGTCACCGAAGAAGCTTGGTTTGGGGGGAATTTGCAGAAATCGCTACGCAAGTTAACGCGGAACTCCGCTGACAAAATCGACAGTCCGGCGTCGTCCTTTGAAGTCTTTTCCGTGGAGGACCCGACTGACATCAAAAGACTTCAGTCTTGGACGTACACGCTGAGCCAGCCAGGACCGAAGCCGGCACAGAATGCCCCGCATCCCCACGAGGCCATCCTTGACCCCACGGGGCAGTACGTGCTAGTGCCGGATTTGGGAGCGGATCTGGTTCGGGTTTTTGCAATCAACCAGGAATCCTACCAACTGACGCCGGTTACCCCGCTGAACGTTGCGGTTGGCAGTGGTCCCAGACACGCCAGATTCCTCGTCACCAAGGAAAAGACTTACTTCTTTGTTCTAGCCGAGCTTGGGAACATTGTCACCACGTACGAAGTTCACTATGGTCGCAACAAGACCTTGAGCTTTACAGAAGTCTTCAGCGTCGGTACCCACGGCCCTGACAACACGGTACCTGTTGGGGCTGCCGCAGCTGAGATCCACATCTCGGTAAGTACTTTAGTCAGGCTGATTCCTTGACGAGGAAGATTCGCCACGAGATGTGTTATGTTGCTAACATTTCGTCAGCCTGACTCCGAGTATCTCATTGTCTCTTCACGAAACGTTAGCATCTTCAGCATTCCCAACTTTGACACCACCAACAGCACCGAGATCAAGAGCGACGCCCTTGTTACTTTCAAGATCGATCACAAGACCGGTCACCTGGGTTTCACGCAGATCTTCCCGTCAGGCGGCATGATTCCCCGCCAGTTCTCGATCAATAAAGCTGGCACTCAAGTTGCTGTGGGTTTGCAGCAGGACGGACGGGCGGTCATTATTGATCGCGAAGTGAGCACCGGTCTTCTGAAGGGGTTCGCCGCGAACATTTCTATTGCGGGCGAAGTTGTTTGCGTTATCTTTGATGAGTGATCTTGCAAGCTACTCGGCAAATAGAAGCATCATATCGAGAACTCACAGTCACGGAGAGAGACAAGCCCCTAGAGTGGTCACTTTCCCTCTGTTTGCATCCTTTCTTTTTCCTGTTTCCAATTTCCTGCATCAAACTTCCAGACCCAAACATCCTGCTTCTCGTCATAACTTGCTTTCTGCCAGCCCTCGAACTTGGCAAGACCTGCCGCTCGCATGAGAGCTCGCCATGGTTCATTGTCATCGCCCGTCTCTGAAAACTTGACATCCAAGCTCATTTTTGGCGTACTCGATGAAGACGCTGATCAACTCGAGGCCATAGCCCTTGCGTCAGTGTTTGTGATCGATTATGATGCCGATGTCCGTCATGTACGCTTTGCTTCCCTGTAGTGTTGTTTGGTCAAGGAACTAGGGCGGGTCGACAGATTCAGAAGTGTTGTACCCTCCATATCCAATCAATTCATCTGTACCGCGCGGTTCAATGACCAAGAATGCATTTTTGCCATCCGCTGACATTTTGGCAAATTTTTGCATCCGAGCCGGAAGCTTCTCAAAAGTAAGACCTTCTTCAGGTTCCCCAAATGGGAAATTTTCTGGGACTGTCATGATGGCGTGAAAAGATTCAATGTCGAATTTTTGTGGCAGTCTTAACTACGAGTCGCGGCGACAACCGACAAAAATGAGACGAGGCCATCACGGCGGATAGACGGTGATTCTATGATGTTCTGCGTTTGAAGTTACAACTTTGCTAATGAAGCTACGGGCCATCAGCTATACAATAAGGTCTGCGCAGAAGACCTCGACTTAAATAAGCAACATTTCTACACATGTTGACTTTTTCCAGTCATCATGTTGGCGTCTGAGGATCCGCTACGCCACGTCTCATGTGGGTTCTAATCGGCCGAAGGATGAGAGTTTGTTGACCTTCCCGATATGGATACAGCTCTTGACGCGCCCAGGACCAACAACTGGACGGGCAGTCAGTCACACTTGATGTGAGTCACTGATGAACGACAGGAAGACATTCCGAATCAGATTAATTCTGACTTTCAGCCTGTCTTTCTCGGCAAACAACAATTGATAGTTAAGCAATTGTCGGGAATTTTCACCTTTTTATAGTTGGGATGTAGCACTCAAGGTACCTACGTCAAGTGACTGTATTGTCAAGCATCTCAGTTCAGCATGGCCTTTCTCAAGTCGGCACCAGTAGTGAAGCGTCTCATAGTATGAGTGCAATTAGATGCTTGAAGTGCGAACCGTTCTCTGGGTGTCGATGTGGCGGGACTTAGCGAAACCCGGACGTCGGAGACGGAATCCGGGCCAAGGGTGCTCGTCAACAGCAGCCCCAAACTCCGCATCTCTTCCCAATCAACTCCAAGTCCGGGGAAACGGCAAGCTTATATGCTGGGGATGTAGCTTAAACAGCTCATCAAAAGTGCGTGATTGCAACCTCGGCGTTTCGTCCCAGCTTCAGCACAGTGGCTGCCCCCGATGACCCCCTGCAAATGGTTCTCGGATGGACGCACGACCGATGCAACCCGCAAAGCCAAGCGCGCACGATCGACAGGCAACATCAGTACCCGGAAACACGGAAAGGGGAAGTGAGACAGAGCCTCGTGGCTATGTCGTCAGCCGCTGTCAATATTCTGCGCTTTCCCTTCGCCTTTTCATGATCTTTCCTCTTTGAGGCTGTCCGGGAGTGAATGGACAACGAAAGCAGCGGGCAGCTGTGCGAGTCAGCGAAAGGTGGTTCTGCCCGTTCTTAATGAATTGGTGGGGTTCCTCGGACCGCTTGACCACTTATGAATGGATGCTATTCGACATTCAAAGTACCTTGCACGTTGCGAGTCGTGATGGTGGGACTCGCTCGAGGAGGATCGCCCTGTCAGAGATTGGATGATCAATATCCTACCCTTCCCGTGCTCCTAGCTCATAAAGATGGTTGGGAAGCTCCTTTCTCTGCCGTCTCTCTTTCATCTGGCGTTCGGTATTCACGCAAGCCAAAAATACCCCTAAGCTACACGATGTCGTCATGGATTAAGTCACATCAGTACGCGCGAGTTGACCAAGCCATTGATAATGGCGAGAGTGTCCAACATAGAGAATCGCGGCTGAGGGAGTACTGGCAGAAGGTCAGAGTCCACCTTTTTTACGCGATACTCCTCGTCTTAGTGGCGGGGCTCAGCAGACATACTGCGCCTAGCAAAGCTACGCCAGATTATTACGGCGTTGAGCCTGTTAAGTCTGAGATGCGATGTAAGAGACCACCCGGCGTCCACATGCACGTTCCTTTCTCACAACTCTAATCCCGCACAGTATCAACCATAAGCAGAACTTTTGAGTTAGATCTCAATTATGCTATGCCACCATCCGCACAAGTCGATGAAGCTTGGGCCTCGCTTCTTCCTAAGGAGGGTGGCTTCTTTCAACACTCCAAGCTTGCGCCGCAAAAAAGCTGCATAGCGGTGTTCCACCAACTTCACTGTCTCGACATGATCCGTCAAGCACTATATGAGGCGCGGCCTGACATCATGGAGCAAGTCAACAATGGGTCGCACCCTGCAGATCACAAGGCAGACCATAACGCAGGCCACGACACTTCTCCCGATCACAATCACGTCAAAGATATGTATCATATAGGACACTGTTTGGACCTTGTCCGCCAGTCCATTCTTTGCAGACCTGACCTGACTGTGGAGGTTGGCGACCCTGCGGTGGGCGGTGTAACGGGGTTCGGTACTGAACATCAGTGCGTGAACTGGCAGGAATTGATGGACTGGATGAAGGATCACGAATGAGGCATGGGATGCATAAATGACGACATGCGCTAGCCATGATCAACTAAGACAGATATAGATGTAATATGAGCCGTTATCGTGAGCTCTGCTCGGTCCAGCGGAGAGCAAGCGAGCGTGCAATTTCCAAACCGAGAATCACGCCACAACGTGGAACAAACAGAGACGGGATAACTGGACTTGCGAAATAATAGATGTTGGTAAAATAATCTACCGCCATACAGCAAGAAGACATGAACTCTTCTACGAAGCTCATCATAAACAATAAAAACTGCGAGAGGAATGCAGAAGGTTGCCCAAATTGGTAATCAAATTTTGGAGGAAAAGCCAGCAAAATGAGACTATTACCGATGCACATGACAACGTCCAGGCTGGAAATAAACTCGCTCTCTAGGGCAAGAATGGCAGCTGTGATTTTACATGCTCACTTATCGAAATCAAATCACCAAAGCACATTCCTGATTGAGCCATAGCGCTGCTCAGCAAGCTTTACAGCGACATGATCTTCAGTTTCCCCGGAAATTACGGGCCGCCGGAAACCGGCACCCCAAGTACCTCAATCCGCACATAGCTAAGAAAGTGGAAGCAATGGTCGAAGCCAAGCTGCCGCAATCGATTGCGTCGGAAAGTTGAACAATGGACCGCATCCGATCGTTCTTGGCAAGCGGGATAGAATGTTCATCCCATATTCATCAAGCTTAAATCACCTTCAGTCGACGTCCGTCGTCCGAACACCATGCACGGGTGGTCAAGTCAGTTTCGGATCTCAGAGGGTGTTCCTAGATCGACCCCAATGGATCGCCCAACGGAAAGTTCGACTCGGTTCGTATAGACGATTAAAGTTTTATTAATCATGCCTGTCCTCGGTCCCTCAAAATATCGCACTCTCACCGGACGATCCGGATGTAGGGTTGTTTGGAGTTTCCATTTGTCTTGCGATTGAGATGCTAGAGTGGTTCCACGGGATAACCTACCGATGAGTTCAATTGAGGAGGGCTCCCTAGCCCAATTCCTCTTGGAAAGCTTAGCATTCAGGGGCATTTCGACGATAGATTAGGGTTGATTGCGTTTGAGTTTCAGCGAGAAGAGTCGCCTATGATTCATCCATGCTTACCGTGCCAGCAATCGGTCCCTTATCTAACATGGTAAGACAGTCATCGGCTCGGATTACGAGAAGCTTAGCTTGCGGAAGCCAAATGCTATCCTAGCAGCTAAGCTTCCTGCTGTGCATTAGGCAAACTGAAATATATGATTTGAGGGACCTTTGGTAGCCGAAGTTGTAGTGCTGTCGGCAGCTCATCGTCCAAAACCATTGGCCCGTGTCGATGCCAATTTGAGGTGTTTATCAAGATCGGTTCAACCCTCCTCTGAAGGAGATTCTGGTCAGCATCATTCAAACCACCAACTTTGTGTCACCATGGTTTCCGCGATGTCCATCCGTCACCTGTTGCTGGCATTGTTGCCTTGCACCACCGTCTTGGCCGATTCTTGGCGAGTCGACGGCTTCAACCCGGTCAAGAAACTTGCGGAGGCCAAGCGGTTGCCTGTACGCCGCCATCTTGAGCGTCGTCAAAACACCGAGAAGTACCAGTACCTGAATGATAAGACTGAGAGTATGCCCACCCAACCTTGACCCCTCTCTTCTGTTCGTACACTGATATTAAAAAGAGTACCTTGTGAATGGCACGTCTATTCCATTGGTTGACTGGGATCTGGGCGAATCATATGCTGGCCAAATCCCGATCTCGAAAGCATCCAACGAGACTCGCCAACTCTTCTTCTGGTAAGTATACATACCTGTCTAAGCCGCCATCTATCTCACAACGTTGATACTAATTCCAATAGGTACTTCCCTAGTACAAATCCAGATGCATCTGAGGAGGTCACCATTTGGTAAGTTTCGTCGAACCCCCAAAGACATTTTCCTCGGACCTAGTCGCATACTGACTCCTCTGCTAGGTTGAACGGAGGCCCTGGATGCAGTTCTTTCATCGGACTGGTCCAGGAAAATGGACCTTTCACCTGGTTTCCTTCGGCTTACCGCCCGGTTTACAATATTTTTAGCTGGTCCCAACTTTCAAATGTGCTCTACGTCGATCAGCCCGCCGGCACTGGCTTCTCAGTCGGTAAGCCTGGAGTCAACACGGAAGAGGAGACTGCCCAGCAGTTCCTTGGCTTTTACCACAACTGGATGGAGACCTTCGGAACCAAGGGCCGCAAGACTCATCTCACCGGCGAGAGCTACGCCGGCCACTACATCCCCTACATTGGTGACGCCATGATCAAGTCCAACCAGTCCGCTGACTACAACCTCTCCGGTGCATTGATGTTCAGCCCGTACATCAGATCTGACCCTGGTGACTTCCAACAACATGCGGTTTCCCTGCCCTTCGTCGAGGAGTACAACAACGTTATGGGCCTGTATCCTGGTGTTGGCAATTATTACGACCGGATCAGTGCTGCCGACAAAGAATGCGGCTACGCCGATATGCGCGAGAAATACTTCACCTTCCCTCCCAAGGGTCCCTTCCCACCCGGAAACAACAGCGATGACTGCGCAATCTCGTCTATTGTCTACGAAGGTCTCGCGGAAGTTAGCCCTTGTGCTAATATCTACCACATCTCTCAGGGCTGCCCCAATCCATCGGATCCCCTCAGTTGGGCCGCCGAGGGCGACAACGCCTCTGTACCCCTCAGCTTTGACAAGGCAGACTGGCACTCCTACCTCAACCTTCCGGAGATGCGCAAGGCCATCCACATTCCCACCGGGCAGAGAGACTGGAAGAAGTGCTCCGATGAGAACCCGTTTGGTCCTACTGGCGATGTCAGTCTTGACCCCTTCGCCTCCGGCGCTCTGACCCGCGTCATTGAGCATACAAACAACTTCATAATCGCCAGTGGCAACCTTGACTTCCGTGTGCCTACCAATGGTACGCTCATGGTGCTTCAGAACATGACTTGGAACGGACAGCAAGGCTTCGATGAGTTCCCGTCCAAGACCTTCTTCCTCCCCACAGCCTACAGCGACCTATCTTCCCAGAGTGCGGCTGGAAAGATTGGTGATTGGGTTGCACAACGTGGCCTCACCTTCGCTCGTGTTTTCAATGCCGGACACGGTCAGTAACCAAGTCAGCCAAGACGAACCCTACCAAGAATGTACTAACCTTCGGCTTCATAGAACTCCCTCAATACGCTCAAGGAGCCGGATACCGTCTCCTAGAACAGCTTCTTGGCCGCGTTACGGACTTGACCAGCGATCTCATGTTTACTGCCCTTCCAGGTGACTTCACGGGGTCAAACACAACGCACGGGTCTGCATCTCACTAGAAGGCTTTAGCGGGTACCTTTTATAAGTCAGCATTTTCAAAGCTCTCGGGTACATGTACAATTTAGGGTTTATTTACGACCAAACTTTACCACAGTGTAAATAGATATCTCAAGTTGTCCATATTGCATAGCAGGTTTTCTTGCTGCTTGAATACAAAATACCTGAAACTCGCCTCCGAAGACTTTCTCATTGCAGCACAGAACTCTAACTGGTCATTCTGGTGTTGTGTATTTCCGTGGCTAGCAGAGTGTCTTTTGATGATAGTGGACGGAGGTTCAAACGATCACTGTGCTCAGCCCTAGTACGAGTGTTTGGTCTGTCATCCATGATGCCATCTTCCAAACTGCCACAGCCGAGGATTTCCTTCCAAGAGCGACATAATGAGACAGAGGCTTTGACACAGACGTGGCGAGGTGCAAAGTCTGAAGCCCTTCTTAGAGTGTCAGGAACAATAGGGCAAATTAATTTTAGACATAGGCCGTCCCATGAGAACAGTAATAAGACCTCGATCTTTCCTGGCGTCCATAAGCATCTGATTTCGCTATTAAACCACAAGCGACATAGTATGTATTCTCTTCGCGCTTACTCCGTCATTCCGTGACGAGCAGCGTTGGTTATTGAATGATCACCAAGACAGGTCAACACCATCAAAGTTTTTAAACCTTCCACTAACGTCCTTCGTAGCGTGATCAATGATACGGGCCATTCCTGCAACACTTTCCTTGACCGCAATGGCTCCCATACTTAATGTCAGGCGTTCCGATATTCTTGGTTAGCTCGGCAGACATATCTATCTCGACCAAACCAGGATTGAGGACAAGCGCTGTGAGCCATGGTTCCTCAATGCTCAGCCTCTTCACAACCTAGATGAGCATTGCCTTGCTCGCTCCGTACGGGCTAGTGCTTACCCTCGGCGGGAACGATTGGGCCAGGCTATCCTGCATACTGAGGCTTCCGATCACCGAGGACACAGCAACGAACATCGGTTTCTTGCTTTTCATCAAAAGCGGGGCAGGTGTACTGAACAAGAGAAGTAGCGCAACGGAATTGATCTTGACATGGTCTAGCGCCGTAGTGGAGGAGATGTCGCGGATCGGGGCGCTGATGTGTGAGATGCCTGCCCTAGCGATGATCGTATCGATAGTGGATATTTTATGCTCCTTCTGGAGGAGTTCAATAGCAGTTACGGGATCCTCGTCGATAGAGGAATCGATTTTGATGAGTAGGAGGGTGGAATTTTCGGAAATTTTCGCCTAGGGGTGTCCACTTTCAGACCTTTCAATTCATGTGGGCATCATCGTGGCCTTAAGGTCCTTGCAATCTCTTGAGGAAGTTATGAAGCAATGAGCTAAAGTGAGTCTACTATATTTTTCCTGGTTTCACGAAGTCACCACAAGGCCATACAGTAGATATATTCAACATTGGGATTTAGTTTGATATCTCGACAGTGAAGTTGTCTGCGCACCGTAACACTGACAATGACGAACGTTACGCCGCCGATGATCCAAAGGTCGGTCTAAGAGCCACAATTCCTTCAGCTAAGCTCGTGGTTTGATGCTCTGAGGCGTTGAGAAAAGGTCTCCTGGATCAACGGCGCCCTTGATCTTCTCCAGTCTTGGAAGGTTGTCACCCCAATACTTTTGCTGCGGGATTCCCTTGATCCTCAGGTTGGTGT